GACAGTATATATATTTTATTTTTTTTTTTTTAAACAGAATATTTGCAGAAATATATGCTTCTGTAAATGAAAGTCAGTTTCCTTACAACACTAGCAAATTTTTCATGATATATCTGAGAAAAATTCAACGATTATAGCAGCTGAGATGGCAAAACTTTTAAAAGAAATTAAGGTTCGAAATCTTCCTTCCGCAAACTAAGTTTTTTCAAATTTTATTTTTTTCGGAGCAAAAATGAAATTTTTCTAGTAAGACCACTAGTAGGGTCAAAATGCCATATAATGCTTAAAATAATACAAGATAACAATTAAAATTATCTTAATGTCTTTAATGAATCTATTCCTCGACTCACGAGTCTCATATATTTCCTTAAATTGATTACTTTTAGCTGTAATCAAATTTTAGTGTAAATTAAATTAAAGCTATTAAATCGAAAGGTAAGTTGTAAATCACAAAATTTACTATCACTTTAAATATTAAAAAAAAATCTGCCGTTAAAATGAGACAAGTTCACGTGTATAATAATAGGACAGACTGCTAGTTTTACTAACAATTTTTAAATGAACTTTTCTCATTTGTTCATTTAATTTGTCGGAGAAAATGAAACAAAATATTTTTGAATAAAATAAGTGTTATTTTACTAATTAAATATTAATTTAGCCTCAGAAGTGTCGCCCTCAAACAAAAGAACAAAAAGAAGATCAGCAATTGAGACAGATTCTTGGAGAATCTGATGCAGAGGAAGCCAAAATGACTCAATGGGGATCAATGATAAACCTCAGAGGTCGAAAACCAAGCACACCAGGTATTAAATTCTGTTTTCAAACAATGCAATTCTGCACTACCTTGGAAACAACTTCTCTGTCCGGGAGTTGACTTCTAAACAAGGTCAAACTACTAAATCACTTTTTTTTAAAATTAAGCTTCTTTTCTTTCAGTTCATCGGAAGCTTACAACGTGTGGAGTGTGTTAAATCTATTATTCCGAAATTTGAACTTTGGGGACATTTCTTACGATCAATATACAAAGTTCTGCCAATATTACAACGTAGGCGAATCTTCAAGCGTTTGTCAGATTACCACATTTTTCATCCTCGTCCCATCGAATTCTCAGATAGTAGTAATAGTAATCTGACGATCAGTTTTGGAGCTGTATGCTTCATTAATAAGCTTGAAGATCTCATAAATTAAGGGAGATGAAATTGGAGTTCCTTCGAAGCGATTGAATTCTCAGATACCATTCATCTGATTCCTATTTTATGTCTTGCTTCGATCTGCCGAAAGTAGTAGAAACGATGCTTGATCTTAACTAGGAGGTTACATGTGATGATTCCCGACCTTTTTCTATTGATCGCAGTAACTCGTCCCGCACTGATAGTAAAGATCCCAGTCGCATCACTGGTTGATTAACCACTTTGATCAGCCTGCGTTGGAACCGATGTTATTGGTCCTCTTTAAACTGTTCGCATGCAGTTCGTCGGCTTGCTAAAGTGGGAGAGTCATCCCCTCAGCAGAGGATCAAAATTGTGTCTTCGGATCATCCTCAGGGATCCATTAATTCAGCTCTTGTGCGACCTATCTGACGATCTATCAACATTGTATCGATAGTACGATCTATCAACTCCTTCAAAAATGCTAATTTCGGTTTTATATTGTTTTACACTCTTTGGACTTCAGTAAAAGCAACAACAAAAATTGGTGTATAGAAAAATTTATGATGGTAATATCCTTGCTTCATGCTATTATAACATCACAAAACAGTAAATAGTTTTTCAATACATTAGTGTTCCTTGCCAGACCAAGTGTTCTCTCTGTTCTGTAATGTAAAGACAGTGGATTCGAATCCTACCGAAACCGTGAATGTATCTTAGTGATGTCCTTCTCAAACCTGTATCATCTGTTTTTAAATATGACAAAGGCTTGCAAACCTGCATATGTATGTGTATCAAATAATAAACAAATATAAGCCAAATACATTAGGTGATTTCAAAAGTTCTCACTCAAACTGAATTGCGTAAAAAAAGGTTATGCGTGTTCGATGATATTACTCATAAATGCTACCAGCAAATAATTCTGAAGACAGAGATGGGAACAGTTTACTTAACTTAATTGAAATGCAAGCTAAAGTTCCCCGTTTGGTAGATAGAAAATCTTTCTTTTTTTTCGTGTGTCACTTAAAAAATAGTCATTAAAATCTTTCTAAAATTGAGATTTCGGCAAAAAACTTAAATAGCAAATATGTTCATTTCAAAATGATAACGGACATTTTTTATTACTTATTTATTTTTTAAAAAATACTCACAAAACTATTAATAAAAAATCATAATGCATGGCCTCAAGTTATTTTTATTTATAAGAGCAAGATTCTGATTAGGGCTGGATTTGAGCTTTAGCGTTTGGCGGTAATTATTCTTATGCGTTTCAAAACAGTTATAATAATGCCAACAATCACAATATCGTGAAATCGTATTATTTGCTTAAGTCTAAATCCGTTCCATAAATCTTTCTAGTGAAATTAAAGTTAGAACTTAGAATTAAAAAAAAAAGAACCAATTAAAATTATGATGCTTATTTTAGGTGGAACATTAAGCAGACCTAATTCCGTAATGATGTTAGACCGAGGATATTCGACACCTTACGAGAGTACGACCGACATTGATGACGAAATTCTAGAGAGCCTGGTAAAAACAGCAACTGCACAACCAAACAGAACAGAACCCAGAACACGGAAGAAAGCAAGATATGCCGATAGAAAATCATGTAAGTCCTATTTTAATATAACTTTTCGATGTAAATCGATGGAACACATCTCTTAAACTTCATCCAAGCATCTTACACACTAATCGTTATACAGTATGCATCTTTGAATATTCGAGCGAGCGAGCGATAAGTTATTGAAATATATCAAAGCTCTAGAAAAGAAGAATGTATAAAAACACCATAACCAATTTGATGGGTTGAGGAAATTTAAAGGTATTTCTAATAATTGCCTTTTTTTTCCCTGGCATTCAAACAGGTTTTGTTGTTTTCAGTCATAAGTTTCATTGCAGTGATTTGTTAGATTTCGATAGTGTTTTGTTTTCACGCTTAACCATCATCTTACAATCCTTAATGTGTGTACTTTTAACTCAATTTTAACACAAATTCTACAAATATATATTAAGTGTGCTCAATACAAAACACCCTGTATACTATCCACTGCTACTTATCTCTATGAAAACGGAATTTCCCAACCATACAACTTCTGAGGAAATATTTGTGTGCCGAAACTGCTAGTACACTTTGAAATTTCATCATAGATATATGTTGTTACGTAATTATATTTATAACAATATGTGATTTGTTTCAACTGTGGAAAGTAGAAAAACATTCAAGCTTGGACTCGCTAGCATTAACTTTGAGAAACGCTAGCTTATGTTACTTTAATTAAAGAGTAAAGCATCTCCGCAATAGCCCATTGTAGGCCACGGTCCTAGCAACACCTCCTAGAAGAAGGAAGGTCTAAGCGCGGATCAATTTAGTAGCCTAACTTAACGAACATAAACTGCGCAGTGGATGGTATATGAGAAAGATGTCACTACGTTCAGGCTACTAAGCTGCGCAGTGGTGAAAAATACGAAATATGTCATTACGTTTGAACTACTAAAGGATCATATTTCGTGTTTATGGTAACTCGTGCTGAGGCCTTCTCTTTTCTTGGAAGTGTTGGGTTAAGGCTTTACAATTTCACCACCAACAGCATGATGGTAGCAATGTGGTCAGCATTGCCCACCAACAACCTCCCAGAGACGCTCGGATGATGGAGTCTGTTAAGGCGCCCCTTGCACCGAAGGTTGGAGAGCTGGGGGTAGAGAGTTGAAAGCCGACAAAAAGACTGTCGTCGATGAAAGTACTCTCTATTGTTATGGTGTGGAAGTTTGGAGAGAGGGGTACGAGCTCTGGTGCTGTCCACGTCCAATGTCATAATTAAGTAGCATTTCTACCATGGCCGCTAAAAGATAGAGCCCTGAAAATGAGCTAGGTGCCTGACCCTTGTTGAGTGATGTTTACTTCCCGGTACTTATCAATATTCAACGGCTTCAAACCATGATAAAACTCTAGTTTTAGTATTATTACCTGTATAGCACTCCCGCAGCTGTCGGTTTCACAATTTCAAGAGCATTATGGTTCCAGCCGAGACTGGATATGAAGCTGCATGGGGGCTTCAAGCCGTTACCGGGAACAGAACCAAAATCCATCACGATGATAGCTTATTGTCTTAATTAATGTTCTATCTTATTACGTTCCAAATTTTATTGTCCTGGCCTATAGGGCATGTAACATCTGTAAATGTAATCAGTTGCAACTTGGAGCTCTGTAAACAGCACAGCTGTACTCTTACACCCATGCAACCCAGGGTCACTCTCTGGGTTGTTTCATTTGAAAGTCTCCTTTGTTCATCACAATCTATTCGTTTTCTTGCAATGATTAGACACAGACGTGCATTTTGGTACATCACTATTCCTCGGATGCCTCCTATAGGAGCCGGGTAAAATTAAATTGAATTAATGTTCTATCTATTGCAGATATTTTTTCAATATTATTGCCTATATATAAACTTACTGAATGGTTTCGAATTGTTATAGTTAAGTAATAAGATTCTATTTTTATACAATCCTACTTTTTTTCTTACAGTGAGAAGAACACTGAAAGGTGGTCTAGATATCGGTGATGCTTTGGTCACGTGAGAAGAGAGAAATATTTATTTATATTCAGAAATGATAAATCGAAACTGCTGTTATTCATCACTGAGAGTGATATTTTGTTAGATATTTGGAGATGTATATTGTAAAGCCACAAGTGTTTTGTTATATAATGTTACGAATATTTTTAATGAATAGTTTACGTGTCTATAACCAGGGCAATCGCATTTCTAATCAAGAGAATAAAACAAAAATATATTTACCCGTGAAAAATCGGGAAAATTCACTAGCAAACCTGAAATTAATGACGAAATGAAACAAACCTGAATGACGAAGCGTAAACTAGTTATAAAAATATTATTTTGATGTTTTTTTTTTTGTTAATAAGTATTCCTATTAGAAACATTTTTATGAAGATTCCTATTAAACAAACATTCATCGCTAAATAAATTGTTTATATGTTTAAAAAAAAAAGAATTAGCATGATTTAGGGTTATGAAGCCCTGTCTATGAACAAAATTCGAAAATCTACTGAAAATGGAAAAACAATAAACTGAAGATAACCTATGGGTGCAATTTTCTGCATTGAAAAGCAATTTGTCAGTGTATATTTACTGGAGGCGAATAAAACTTATACCGTCAAAAATATAATATCCAGGCAAAAAATTTCGCTTGGACACTACCGGGATGGGGATAAAATATCGCAGCGATTCAATTATTATTTATCGTTGTATTTTGTACTCGTGACATTTTATGAAAGCAATATATTTTGTTATGAAACTGTCGAAATAGATACTAAATGATGGTATTTGACAAAACAAACTTATAATAAAGCGGTCGTGACCGTTGGGAACTAACATTTCTCGATTTCATAAAAATGTCTTTCAGCTTGTTTTTTCACTAAAATCGGCACTTGATACTGAAATATAACATTTTTAACGAATTCAAGTTTTATCGCTTTTAGTTTATCAATTTATTCCATGACAAGTGATTACTTTTAAATTGAATTAAGAAGAAAAAAAAAGTTTACATTTACATCCACACAAATAAGACAATACTGAAATTAAAATACTTTTGCCATAAAGTTATCTTTTAGTCAAACATTTTAATGAAAAGTATGTTTTAGACATGAAAACATTAAAAATTCTTAACCAATATGAATGATGTACTGTAGTGAACATTCAACGGATTTTGTTTGTACTATCTCTATAATATTGTTAAGAAATATTTTGCTCAATAAACGGGATATTTGCAACTTTGTTTAGTTGCCTTATGCGATCTTTCTCATTTTTTTAATGCAAAAAACAAATATAGGTACTCCGTAAAAGCTGCTTATATTTTTGGAATCGTTGTCAGAAGTGATGACAAAAAAAATATATGGAAGGCTAATAATATTGTAAGCCAAGAAAGCAACAAAAATATTTCTATATTTGACAAATCACTATTGAGGAAGGAAGGTGAGCAGAGTATCAAAACTAGTTTGATTGCCAATTGAATCTTTAAAGTGTTCCGAACAGTCGTCTTTCAACCTCTCTCTTTTTTCGACAATCAAACATATTTTCACTCAGACGTTTCTTAGTAGCTATTTGTCTGATTTTGATATCATTGCTATTTTTTCCTCACTTCAAATACAGACACTAAGTGGTATTCTTTTTAGGCTGCACTTTTGAAATGAATTACGAAAAGATACATAAAGGGGCTGCCTTTATGGAAGACCTCGCGATTAACAAATTAACGGAAATATTTTCATAGTAAGATAAAAATCTCAAGAAATCAAAATTCTCGTTTAAAAAAAAACAAATTTTTATAAGGAAAAGCCAGCATTAAATATTCCGAAATTTTAAGACTTGATTTCTCAGGAAGTATTCCATAGATTTTGTATTTTGCAACATAAAATTACATTCTTCAAAATGGTGTAAAAAAATTGCATACTTTGCAATTCAAATCCTTTTTCGACCCTCCGACCTTCGAATCCTATTCAAATCCTTAATTAAAACACTGAAAAATAATAAATGTGTGCAAAAATTTATTTTTTGCATGGAATCATCTTTGGATAAACGAATTTTATAGTTGTGTGCAAAAGTTTTTCAATTCGCTTTAAGAGTTCTCGAGATATGGCGAAGGACGCAAAATTTAAATTAACATTAAGGGGTCTCAACTTTGGATCGCTCTTCTGACTGAACTATAGGGACCGTGTTTCCCACATTGCAAGTACCCCCCCCCCCCATTTGGGGATCATAAATCCGAATCTGTTGAAAAAAGGGTACATTTATTCATTGAAAGTACGTTTTTGTGTCTGATTTAGTAACTAGTAAAATATTGCCTGAAATTATATCAAATTATATATAATCAATTAGAATGTTTGAAGTTACCCCTTTAGAACCATTAAGATCGTGTGCTAGAACGTGAAGATCCGATCATTAGATCAAAAGTTAACTAGCGCAAAGTTAATTAGGGTAATATCTGTTTTTTCCCCGCTCTGTACTTAGGCTCCTCGACAGCGGACAGCGAAGATTGCAAGTCCGCACCCTTAAGACATTAAATGACGTTGTTAGCACTGATAAGAAAATACCACGAAAAGTGTTGGTTAGGATTAATTATTGCTTTTTTGAAATAACATACATTTGCCTGCCTGTGTGCTCAATTTAGGCTTATAAACCATTGTCAAATAGATGGACAGATAGAGCAATTCAGAGAAGGACATCACGAAGAATACATCCAGGACTACGACGGGATTCGAACTCGCCCCCTCTTATTTTAGCTCTGAGTTGTGAAGAAATAGGAAGTCGAAGGCCTTTCAAACTAATCGAATCAAACAACTTTTGTCAGTATATTTTGATATTACAAGACGTTTCGCCATATACTCTCTTACCAAGATATGTCGCTGGTTCAAAGTTAAAACGACACTTCTGCATTGACTTCTCATTCAAATGACATGAGAAGTGAGTGCAGAAGTGTCGTTTTAACTTTGAACCAGCGATGTGTTCTTGTTTTATTATATTATCGCAATGATAAATAAAGAGTAAGTGAAAGTATAAAATTTTACTTTTAAAAAAGTTGTATGGCCGTAAAAAGTGTGTTTATGTGGATGATTAGCAAAAAACAGAGGTGTATGCTATCCGTCTTGCAAGTTTTAACATCTTGTTTGGAATCCAAGGAAGAAGGGAAAAACCGAAGTTTAAGAAAACAACCTTATTTCAATTATGAAGTTTTGCCGAATATCCATTAGCTGTTTAATTATAAATCAAATCATATTTTAATCGCATTTTTAAATTATGTGAAGAAAAAAAATTTGAATCTTTTTTGATTGATATGTATTTAAAAAAGAGGCTCATACATTTTAAATAGTATAAAAAGTTTCATTTGATGAAATTTCTGGGATTATTATAGTCAATAAAATACAAAAACTGTATTTCATTAACCATCATTAATTTTAACTGATTGCGATATTTAACATTTATGATTGATAATGGACTCAGATATAAGAAGTTTTTATTATGTGTCTTAAATATTTGAGTTTATAATTTTGAGTAATGATGGATGTTAAATTCATTTTAGATATGAAATATTTTTTAGTAATTTATGAATAAATAGCTTTAAATAAAACAAAACTGAAATTATTTACATATTTTTAAAAGAATAGATTCAAAATGATTACTATGAACCCTTTCATATTACTTACATATCATAATTATTTAAGCTATAAAGCTGGTACAAAAAAAGTCTGTGATAGTGTTTTTTATGAGGAACTTTCCCAATTTAAGGGAATTTACTGAAATATACAAAAACTATAAGATAATTTTTTATCAATTAAAATCAGGAGGTTTTTGAAAAACCCAGTAGGATTGGCAGCTATGTATAAACAAATTTTATAAATGGACGAAAAAATATTTATTTGCGTCATAAATTCAAGAAATATGGCAAGAAAATGGAAAAAGAACGTTAAGAGGACCAAACTTTTGACCGTTCTCTTTTTTAAATTATAAGGGAATTATACATTCTAAATTGCAGATTGTATCTAATTAGGTACAATCGATACAATTTTTAAAGTGACAAATCGAAAATTCTTCGAAAAAGAAAATTCGTTAAAAAGTCACTTAATTCATCAACAGCGCTCATTGATTTGCATATTTAAAAAGTGACTTTCTATTAATTATTCTTTTCTTTCTTCCCTCTTTTCTTTCTTCCCTCTTTTCTTTCTTCCCTCTTTTCTTTCCTCCCTCTTTTTGAAAACAAGGGACAAATATTTCAAAATTATAGAAGCTAAAAAATAAATAGATTTTTCTTGTAGCATATTTTGTTTAAAAAATGACCTCATTTCATTCGAGGATTTTATAAAATTTATCATTGAGTGATATTGAAGTTGAATTAACGTGTAAAGGTATGTAAGTAAAAATGTGTTGAAATCGTTTTTAAAGACATCTAAAGGTTTATAGATTTAATTATAGACAAGATATTTAAAGATATTTCTAAAAGTATGTACTCTCGTTAATATCCTGAATACCATTTCTTACAATAAATGTCGAATGAAAGATAATTAACGATTAATATCAAATTTACGCTTAGTATCAACGGTAATCATCAAATACGATAACTATCGTATAATCCTATGACCGGAACAGCCTGGGTGGAACGGCCAGATTAGAACGGTGGAATTAGGCCCATGTCCAAGGGCGTGAGTTCGATCCCAGCCGGCCGAAGATTCCCCGTGTAGTAAATGGTGACTGGTGCACGTTTAAATTTGTCGGCTCACAAAGTCTTCCAAGTTCCCATAACAAATCAATACCTCTTTGGGCACTGAATTGGAGATTGATCAATCTGTGGATGAAGGAATGGAACGATCTGTGGATAATTACGATCTCTGAATGAATGAATGGATGTATGAATGAGTCCACCCTTTAAATGGGCGTGACGAATGGTGTGGCAGAAGTCGAATTCTTGGCCATAGATGGCTCCATTGGAAAACAAGAACCATCACACCACCTCTGCCTTAATGGCAGACGACGACGACAACAACAACATCGTATAACCCAGGAAACATAAGGATTCCATCTTAGAATGTAATATTCTTTCCTTGAGGTCAAAAGTTATTAAACTGTTATATCGCGTTATTCTGTTCTAGGCACATTATTCCGTTCTGATCAAAGCTTAAATTTACATGCAATTCAAATGCCATGATGTGAACTTTTTACTCAGTTATACGCAGTTCACGGTGCTCTCTCTCTCTCTCTCTCTCAACTTCCTTTTACTGATATCATTTACTGTGTATCTGACGCTTACATTCATGTCTATTTTTAATTTGGACAACCTTTATATGAAAATAATCAAAATAAGAGGATTGAATTTTAAGTGCCAGCGTTATAATTCAGAAATGACTTAGGTTTTCTATTTTTGTGTATGCTTTAAATTGAAATAAATACTTTTTCTCTATTTAGTGGGCTGGCAAAAGTGAATATTATTGAGAGCAAAATATCAACACTTATTTTTCTTGTATACATTTCATTTCAAAACAAAAACTAAGCAAAGTTGTTCTTTTGCTTACACTTAAGCGATTGATATTAAACTCGTTATTTAAATGGGAAATTCAGAAAGTGGTTTTCGTGAGCCTCCGAAAGAATACCTTCGTGAGATAAGAAGAGAAACGAACATACGCCTCAGGGAATTCGTCACCTCTAAAAGAAGACACAGTTCAATAAGAATCCTGAAAAGAGATGAACCGTCAACAGAGGTAAGAGGATTGACTAAAGAGACAGTTAAAAAATTTATCATCAGCCACCCCGATTTTCTTGATGATTTCGTAAATTCTCATGTATCACAAAACAGAATTAGAGCTTGGCTCAAATTATCTGTAAGCACCATAACAAAACCAGGTGATGAGCCAGTTGATTCTAACAGTAACGAAGAATTTGCAACTGAAATCGTGGAGCGAAACTTTAGGCAAAGGAAAGTCTTGATCTTGACACGAAACCACCTCTCATACCCCTTCCGATTTCGCTTGGAAGAATTAAGAAGCTTGATTGACCGTCCTATCACCCAGGAAATAAACAGCTACCCCGAAATAAATAGCTACCTCTTCCCCTATACAGAAATCAGCACCGATGACATAAATCGTGTGTTTATTAACATGGCTATCCAGCTATTCGGACCGCATGGCTTTCCATTGACGGAATTGTGCTATTTCCTATCAACCCTGAAAGTCAATTACTTCGATGTGGAGTACCACAATTATAGTCATGCCTTGAGTCATGCTCAATCTATGTTCTGGATGCTGAAGAGGAACCCGGGTGTGTTCACCGAGGTTGAAATGAAGGGACTCATGATCGCAAGTATTGCTCACGATGTGGGACATTTTGGTGTAAACGAAAGGTATATAAAAGAAGTGGGGAATGGTTTAGAAAGAATGTACCACAGTCCGATTCTGGAACATCACCACACACAAGTATGCTTTTTAATTCTTGCAGATATCAACTGCAATGTGTTCTCTGATTTAAATGCTCAAGATTACAAATTGGTCCTCCGATGTATCCGGCATGCCATCAGATCAACTGAAGTGAGTAGGTATAAGATGCAAATGCACACGTTGCACCAACTTCTTAATCCGAATTTCGATTTTGAGAATCAGGAAGTGAAGAGTGCAGTGATATCCCTCATGATGATGGCTTGTGATTTATGTGCATCGTGGAAGCGTTGGCCAGAACACAAAAATATAGTTTGGAGTCTTTACAGAGAGTTTTTCAGACAGGGGGATAAAGAGATGCTTCTAGATGTAGACTCGCCACCAGAGATCGTGCGAATGAATGCTGAAAGCATTCCGCAATTCCAGCTTGCTTTCATGAAAAATATAGTTCTACCCGTCTTTAAACTAGTTGAAGAAGTATTTCCGAATTGTAGATCAATACTTAAAGAAACTATCAAAAACTATAATCTTTGGAAAACATATCATACCAGTCGATCTATTATGTAACAATGGCGTTCTAACGAAATCCAAACTATATAAGGGTTAACCAAATGCAGTGAACACCCAAATGAAAGGTGAACACTCTTGATTCCATCAGAAACACAACGGCAAGCCCAACACAACCTCCATTATTATAAATTAAGGATAAAGAAATGCCCCCGGCATTTCCAAATAACTGATTAAACGATTCGCGGGTGAGCATTTAAAGAGAATGCAAAATTGTGCATAAATAGATGCCCCCACAACTGAAAAGCGCGATTTTTGAAGGTGATCATAATGTAGACATTTGTCGTCAAATGTTTGCTGTTTATGGCAAAAGCATTGTCTAGAATAAATGGTTCTGAACAAATTTTGTAAAAAAGTTTTCATAAAGTAGTTAATCAATGTCGGATCTGACAAGATTCAAGGACAGCAAACATCGTGATCTCCAATGAATCAATTGTTGCTCTTGTTGATAAATGATATGGGGTAATAGAAAGGAAATAAAACTATTTTATCTGTTGTGCTTACTACTTCTCGTTGTATTGTTTTTTTGGACGCATTCTCTTTAGCACGATTTTATGTTCACTTCAAATGCTCTCATGGGAACTGGTTAATCAGTTACACGCTGTCTGTGGTATAATTCTTTGACTTTCTTAACGATGTTCTGTAAAGACCACTATTAATATGCATTTTTAAATTCATTATCAAAAATGAAAACAAAAATGCATTCGCATTGAGTGTCGCAAATTAATATTTAAGTGAGAGGGGAAAAAAGGCTATAAAAACCTGACAAATTGCAGTTCGGGATGTGGATGTAATAAACAACAAAACAGATTTGATTGTGAAAGGAAGCTGATAAGAATTGGAACAAGATTACTACAAACACTTTCAAAATTTAATTTCCAATCGAGTCTCTTTTAATGTTTAATTTCTCTCGCTTTCCTGAACCTTGATTTGTCAGATTTTGGAAATGGTTTTGTTTTTTCCTCGCTTAAATAATAATTTGCGACCCCCAATGTATATTCTTTTTTACTCACTTTTTGATAAGGAATATAAAAATATAGATTAAGGACGGTTTATACGGAACAATCTGTATTATGATCGGGAATGACTTCGCTGCTACGATTACTGTATTTCTTCGAATACACTTTCCTTTTAGCAACCCTTACATATGCTGTCACCAGAGTGTAAAATAAATATCCTCATCTAATGCAGAATTAATTTAATAAATAAAAGTAGTTTTATATATATATTTTTTAGTATCAGTAGATGTAAGTGAAGACATTCTATCTCAAAAATTTTTAGTCATTTTTCTTTCCTTATTTTTGTATTTTTGGAATTTTTATACTTTTGAGCTTGCTTTATAAAAATAGTTATGAAATACTGAAACTTATACGAAAAGTAATTTCATTTTTTTTTCCAACAGAGGACTTAATTGTATTTTTTTGCAGCCAACTTCACACTTAAGTCGTATATTCATTATATGTTTTGACGGCTGATATGTGACAAGACTTGCTCGCGAAAACGTTCGATGAATTCTACGAAGTAGTTTTTGATTGATGCCCTTTCGAATATGAAAAAGCTGTATTTTTGCAATATTTTACTTTTTCACTACCGAAAAGGTAAAAATGCTGCTCAAGCCAGAAAAAAGAATTATCCTACGTTTATAGAAAAGATGAAGTAACAGAAAGGCAGTGCCAAAACAGGTTTTCCAAATTTCGATTCCACAATTTTGAAGTTGAGAATGTACTATGACATTAATTGATGCAAATTGGAGAATAACAACTCGTGAGGCCCCTGAGACATTAAATTTATTGAATGATCATTTAAAAAGCCTAATATTTGTATTTTTTTTTTTTAAAATGGCGGACATTTGGGCCTTTTTTCCATCTTCCTCAGAATTGCTCTTCACCCAGTGGGCATCTGAGGCTAAACAACGGCGGTGGAATAGTATCTGGCGTACCAAAGGTCGGGTTTACGTTTAATAGCATCGGGTTCATCAAACCCGTTTATAGGGCGGGTTTATAAGGAATCATGTTACTATACTGCCAGATAGATAGCAAAAAGGATTGGACAATGTATGATTCAATAAAATATTTTATTAACTATAATGAAATCTCCATTCATTTCACACAGAAGAAAGGACATAGAACACAGAGAGAGAGAAAGTTACATCCATGCCTACGGATGGATTCGAACACACTACCATTGACCCCGTAGTCCAGTACAGTAACCACTAGAAGACTAGTGTTCGGCATATTTGATTTCAAAACTCAACATTAGGATTTCCCGCTGTTCTTACGGGGGGGGGAATGTGTGCCGTCGCATTGATGGCCGTCTCTGATTTGTTTCTCAAATGTCAAGAAAATTACCCATTTTCTGAAGCGCGTCATCACTAGATATGGGTTGTCTACAACAATTTTTAGACAGTTGAACTTTTACTTTAAATAAGGAGTTCAAAAATCACCTAGATCAGTTTTTTGCCAGCCAAGAAAAAAATTTTTATGTACGTGGAATCATGATACCAGACAAGATGGATAATATATGATTCAATAAAATGTTTATTAACTATAATTAAATCGCCTTTCATTTTCTTAATGAAAAAAAAACGAAATTACATTCCGAATCCAATAAAAACATTTTTAAGAAAATTTAGTGTTTTTTCATAGGCTTTTTAATTCAATCACATTTTTCGTGAACTGACATGTTTTAAGCTGACAGAATAGTTTGTCATCAGATATTAATACCACTTTTTAATATTAATCGTCTCTTATTAGGCTTACCCTTCTCCAATCAATAATTTTTCAGCCATAATTTGAAGGGCTTGATAAAGTTATTCAGTAAGTATTATTTACGAATCTTTTGTTCAGAATAAAAACAAAACCTAATCGTATGATTAAAGAGTTCACTAAGTACACAATTTGAAAAGACGGATGGCACAATATTAAAAAAGTCTCTAATACTCACTACAAATGTTCAAAGTGTTTAACCGTGGGTCACCCGATTTACATTCCAACAGTCATCGAGTTATATATTTGTTCCAGTAAAATGCTTGTGTTAGTTCTGTTTCAGATGCCAATATTACTGAAACTAGCATGAATCCGGTTTGTAAAGCACCGTTTCATACCAGTTTCACTGATACTGGCTAGTACCGGTTGTCCCGGTATAGCGATAGATCCGATATGATTCCAGCTTATGTAAAAGTAGTTCTAGTATCATACTGAAGCTAGTATTATACCAGCTTATAAAACACTGGTTTTGATTTATCATATCCAGTTTCGTACTGGAACCTGAATGACACCGGCTTATTAAACACCGGTTCCGGTATGACAATCAGATCCGATATCAAACCAGAGCCTGTATAAAACACTGGTTCTGATATGATAATTAGATCCAGTATCATACCAGAACTGGTATGATACCGGCTTATAAAACACCGCTTTAAGATACTGGTGATTTATATTCAAGAGAGAAAGAAAAAAAAACTCAGTCAAAACCGAACAAAACACAACTGAGGCAGACGGGATTGAAAACATAAAAACTTGTTTAATATCTGGAAAAAAACAGTGAGGCGACATTTATAAATACCTTCAAATTTCATCAGATAGTTTGGTTTCAATCATTTTCACCCCACTTTCCTCGCTAGAGATTCAACATACTTCGATAGCACTTCCTTCACATCTTACTCGCTTGAATATGATCTCGTAATGCATAAACTTTCTTAATTTCATATTTGACAAAGGTTCTAAAAATAAATATTAAGGGCGGTGATTACGTTACATCCTGTACACTGAAAAACCAATTCTCCAATTTACTCACTCACTTCATTCATTAACCCTTTGTTGTCGTACTAAGTGCATATATAGTTGTTATACTGGTCGAACATAATATACAGGATAATGATAAATTCTTTTTACTAGGAAAAATCGCCAATACTCTAAAACACAACTTAAATTATTTTGAGTTTTATATATTCTGAAAGCCTATTGATTTATGTGAACAATATTGTTCAATACAATGGGATTAGTATAATTTTTTTCTGTGAGCAGACATAGAACTAAAGCAGTAAAAATTATTGATGGCTGATAGCAGACAGAAGAGAAACGATTTTAATTTTAAAAAAATGGCGGAAAGCGGATTATACAGTACAGAACAAAATAAAAATAGTGACTTTTGAAGTTTCTCATTTTCAATGTCACCATTTTATTTTGTATGTAAAAGATGTTATTAGGGAACTCTAAACTACTGAACTCAATACAAATCAACATTTTTTTTAAAAAAATATATTTAATTTTAAAAAATTTGACTCGAGTGAAAAATTACGTCCACATAAGAAATAGATAGAAAAGGAAATTACTGGAAAGAACAGCGATACAATTTTTCGTATAAAATAACGAATGGGGATAAAGAAGATCAAAATCTATAGGACCTTTTTTTTTCTCAGAAAATGCTAACCATAGAATATCATGCTTAGCACACAAAAAGTGGCCTGTTTCATCCCCTGATCTTAGTCTCACAGAGAGTTTGTGGAAAATGGTAAAATAAATTTGAAAAAGCAGGAAAGAAGGCAGTTAAGGAATAAATGGAAGATTTGGTAAAAATATGGGAGGAAAGAACTTTTGTCATTCTAAAGTCTCTCGTTGAATCTGTGCCAAGACTGCTTCAATTCGTTATTAATGCTAAAGGAGAACTTATTTACAACTGATTTCTATGTATTATACTACATAAAAATAGCACATATTGAAATGCATTTCAATGCATTTTGTACACTGGTGTACAAAAATTAAGGACGAAGTGGTTTTTCTTCGAACAACAATGTTAAAAATCATGCCATAGGATCCACAAAATGTAAGAATATGGGAGATTAAACAACTTAATCCACAGGAACTTTAATGAAATAGTAGAGGCTTAAAACACACAAATATCCAAAACGTCATTGTTTAACGGGATTAGCAAGGAAATTCCAGCCGTTTGTATGGGATATGATCACCTCTGAATGCTATGCAGGATCGACATCGTCTGCCCATGCCAGGTTGTTTAGAAACTCTTGAGGAAATGCTGCCCATTCCTGCTGCAGTGGTAATCGCAGCTGCGGAATTGTTGCTGGAGACGTGCTGCCAAGCGATAGTGCCCCACACATATTCAATCGAATCAAAATAAGGGGACCTCACTAGTCACTTCATGTGTGCAATATCTTCACTCTCCAACAGTTCTGTGACAGCCACTGCACGATGAGGTGTAACATGATCGTCCATGAAGAGATGAACTCAGAACCCGCAGCACCTCTAAAAAGACGCACACGAGGCAGAAGAACCTCTGTACAATAGCAGGAACCAGTGACTGAACCACCTTGAAAGATGCGTTGATCAGTACGGGTACCAAGCATGATGCCGCCTCATACAGGAACTCTACCTCCTTCAAATCGGTCTCTTTCGATGATGTTACAGAAGTTATTGCGTGTTTCTTGCTCTCTCCAAAAATGTATGGCCAGACTAAATCTGCTCTCATTCGAAAAGAGTACTCGACCTCATTGCGCATGTGTCCAGCTGTTGTGTTTCCAGCTATCCCGGCACCACAAATAGACCACCCTTGTTCAGTCTGCTGGCCACGGTAAAACGCGCGATATCGACTGTGTACTTCTATGCTATAGAACTATATACCCGTCGTCCGCTGTCGTGGTTGTGCGAGAACGATCTCCACTAAACCTCTGGACAGTTGTTCCTGTCCTTAGAAATGCGTTCCATGCTACTGAAACGACTCTGAGTGATCCAGAACTGGTCACACTTCGACCTTCCTAATGATTCGCCCAAGCGTATACTCGTCCAGATGTCGTCTGCAGACCATATCACACCGGGACAACAAATTCATTTCGTTTAAACTGGTGTATACCGTGCAATTCCATTCACATAAATACTGAGTTTCCACCGCCAGGTCGTTTTATTTCCTTACGATATGCCTTCCGGTATGTCGTAATGCAATCTTTTTCTTTAACTTTACCTTACCGTTATTGATCTTCTCAATGACCTTTCCTACCATTGTAACTACCTGTTTTGTTGTTATGCTAGGTTTTCCATTTCGTCATTAATTTTTACTCACCAGTGTAAAAGAAGAGTGAGAGCCAAACATCCGGCAGTATTTAACCTACTACCTATTTTGTGCAACACAGACGCAAATAACCAACGCATTGAACGGCAAAAAAAGACGTAGCTAACAGAGGATACACAACCGGAACAATTAAAAAACTTGGGTAGCTGAGAGCAAACTGGAATGATGAAAATGGTTTGATGACTGAAAACAGACATACGACCGAAACGTTAAGAAAGCTTTGGTGGTAGAGAGTGGATGAGTGACTGGAAATGCAAAAGAGCGCCTTGGTGAGTGAGAGTAAACAGGCGACAAAAAAAGGTCGATTGATTCATTATTACACGTATTCCACTTATATGCTGATTCATAATTTCGTTCTTATCCAACAATCGTTTTTAGATTTTTATTCACTCGCTTAGTATAAAGTAGTAAATGTCATTAAATAGTAGTGTTAACCCCTACTGTGTCAATTTTTTATTCTTTCGAATATCCTACCCAAAAAAAAGCTTTTTTTTATTGCTGAAATTTAATATATGTTCGATCCTACATTCGAAAATGCAAAATATTTTTGTCAGCAAGCAGTTTTTTGCTCGACCTATTGGTGGTGAAATATGTGATGTCCCGTTCACTGATCTCCAGTTTTCGCTGCAATGCACCCAAGTTTTATCTTTAAAGATATACATCGTGATAACATATTAACTTTATTGCTTTAAGATGTTAGGTAAAAGTCTACATAAAATAACTATCAAAATTGGGTAAAAAATATTTTGCAAAATAATTTTCACTAAATAAATCAGAACTATTATCTTCCGACTGAGAGATCATTAATCCACTGCCCTCGGATTCACTTTCTGAATACATCATAACTATTTTGACAGGCAACGGTAACACTAATGAAAGCGAAATTACAAAATGGTTTTGATTTCAAGGAAGGAAATCTCACAGCAAAAATTGAGAAGAAAGTGGGACTGGTTGCGTCATCTCTTAGTAATATTCAGAAATACAAAAATAATCGTGGGATTTAAAGAGACGTCTAAGTAGCGACGAACTCAATTTCAATTTTTCTTCGTCGCATCTCCGCCAGATCTTCCAAAAATTTTCATGACTTGAGAAAATAAATAAAAGAAAAACGAAAGAAGATAGAAATGCACTTTTGCTGTGCTTTGCTTATGAATTTATTCTTACTTAAAATCAAAATGAGCAACTAACGTCGACAGTAGATGGCACTATTGACTGCAAAATGTTTTATGCTGCATATCAAAATATTCTGCATAGCCGCCAGTTAAATTTTGCCAACAGACTGTGCTGCGTTGTTTTCATGAGTAGTAATTTGCAAACATAGCCGGCGACATATATTTCGCGGAAAATTTTAGTTCCCTATGCAAGAATCCGTACATTTCAACCCCTTTAATTAGCAATACAGAACTGAGACAGAGCCACTAGTTTTAGATATAAAAAAATATAAATTTTTAAATTTTTTTTTGCAATCTACAAATGACAGAAATCAAACCAATAAAAAATTTTAAACATGTTTTTGTTAAATTGAAAGAAAAAAAACAAAAACACAGTGAAAAGTTGAAAAAAATTTTTTTTTTATATTTCATACAATTAATAATAAAAAATAAGTATACACAGCTCATAAACTGCAAAGTAATCACATACAATAAACTTACTTATAAGTATGTATAAAACAATAGAATTGTAAATTTCATAAATAATGATTTATTTTGTAAGTAGGAAACAATAATTAAAAGCTACAATTAAAATATCATCACTAAGTCAAACAAAATAAGAGGCCTCAAATGATAAACTAATAAATATACATAATAAAACAAATTAAACAATTTTAGGTAGTTTTCAATGCTAGGAAACAAAAGTAAATTAGATTAAAAACCAGTATTCTGGTTCTTAAACTTATTAATTTACGTGATGAACAAACTTGCCACTCAGAAATAGGTAAAAAGTGCACAGCAGTCAAATTTTTTATTTAAGCCAGAGGATTTTTTCTAGTATTAACAAAATGATAATTTTAATATTTATTTAATTTATTTAATAAATGTAATTTAAAAAGAATGCCACAATATGTATAAGTAATTCTGAGAAAAACACTGTGATCAAAAATTTAAAAAAAGTATGTAGTAAAATACGCACCGAATCAAAAATCTGAAAACAGTTTAAAATATTTTTGAAACATAAAGTCAGGATTCGAAATAAAACGCTGCCCGAACCTATTAAAATTTAACTCGAACCACAATAAATAATTATCAGTGATTCCTTAGACAAGCAATCAAAGGCTATTTTGGTTCGCGCTTTTGTCACAAAACAGCATAGTATTTCATCCTAATTCGCGCTAGCAACACTCCAATAAGCCACCTGCGGAGAAGCCCTTTCTGCTCAGTTCTATGGAAATGTATTATAAATTTTTCCCTTCCATAACAATTTTCGCATGCAACTGTCAAAAACACTTTCTAAACTTTCTTCTTCGTCAAGAACTACGTTTAATGCAGTTTTGAGTTGCATATAGTATGATAACTCAAACATTTTAATCTGTTTGAAGATCAAGACAGAAACTAACGTACTTCCTTCTCCTAAGACTATCCACACGCTAATGGTTAAATCATGAGAAGTGTTGCCATAGGTAGAGAGTTCTGCTCTGGATCCTCAGCAGCCTCAGGACAATTGTCTCTCTTTCCCCTCCTTGGCCCTAACTGCATCAACTTTACATGTAAATTACATGAATAATTATCTTAAATTGTCATGTAAAACAGAAATGTCAGCAACTTTTTCGTTGAAATTCTAAAACTTCTAAATTTCCCATAAATTTAACATCTGAACCCAGTTTTACCTCATTAGTAGGACTTGACTTTTTCTAGAAAAAAAATCACACATAAATGACTTTTCAGAAATAATATATTATATACAACAAAACAATGAATCTTGATTAAGTCGGATAGTTTCTTGGTCGAACAGTTCAGCTTCAACAGGTTTTTGAACTAATACCCCATGGTATTACCCAACTTTCCCTTATGTATCCCATTTTCATGAACCAAAAACCCATAATTCAAACTGGAATACTTTTTTATGAGAATCAATATCTGCAATAAAACGGGGGTTAATATTGAGATTTTTAAGTTAATGTCTGCCCCACCCCAAGGGTTAGTGTTGGGAGTTATGTTGGATATCACTGACCACATCTTCCATAACATATTAAGTGCGTTTTTACTTTTTTTATTGATCAATAGTGCTTTTGACAGCTTCCATATTTTTTGGACATACATAGCATACATAGACATTTGAAGGTTTTAAATTAATGTCTTATGAGCAAGCTATATTTAAAAAAAATCAACTTATATTGCTTTTTTAACACCACCTTAAGTACTAAAGAAAAATTTTCGAATAAAATCAAAAAACTTGGCAGCTATGAAAGCATTATCATCGAAACATCTGTGAATTTCTAAGTTAGTTTTGTAATAAAAATTATACTGATTACATAAGCTGTAAATAAATACTTTAAATTAGTTTTAGAATATAAAAAAAAACTTCCTTAAATTTGGAAAAAATTATGGTTTTTTCTTAATTTCAAATAGATGATAATTAAATGATACTTCATAGTCTAGAAAAACAGTGTAAATAAAATAAATTAATAATTTTTTTTTAAAAAAAAGAAGGAAATTAAGTAATTGTGACTTTAATATTTAAAACTTAAAACTAAGTTTATGATTAACATGATCACAGTGTTTACTTGCCTAACAAAATAACATTTTTAAACATGATCCATTAGAAAATATAAGTCATTAAAGATTAAAATGTGATTAAGTTTCAAGCAATTCATTCCATTTTCAACTCAAATTAGGAATCGAACAGTACAGCACATTCATTGTAATTAATATCTGTTTCGGTTTCATTAGACACAGTTATAAAAGGAAAAAACATATTCAACAAAATTATAATATTAATTAATAAATTACTAACAAAAAGGATAAGTATGAAATCACAAAATACATAAGTTATTCTTTCAAATTATACACTGAGAAATATCAAATGAACATAACAACTGGTAAAGAACAAAATTTATAATAAAAATATTTTAAACCTTAATCAGAAATTTAAAATTGACTTAACATAAATTTTTTAATGACCTTTTCTCACCAAACATTGCTTTTAAGCAATACAACTATGTTGGATTCTCTTAAATTCGCTTTTCTATTTTGAGAGAGGACCCTTTTAAGTGCTTTGCTATATAAGTACATTTGTACTGCACTGTAACCCAACAGAAAGTCTGATACAATGAAAACAAGATTAAAACAATTTCTTGACTCTACCCTACACCCTCACACCCCTATCCAAAGTGACTGATACTAACCACAGTAACTATGAGTCTGTTGTCAAGAGAAGTTCCTGCATTAGCCTGAGAGTATATAAAATTTACTTGTCAAACACAATTTCTCTATTAAATGAAATAGCGTGAAAACTGATTTTTCATACGAACTAACTATGTTGAGTTTCCTGTTAAAAACCCAAATTGAGCTTGATTTTAAACGGTTAAAAGTTCAACTATTTGTCAATGCTGCTTTTTCAATATGGTTTTTGCAACGAATTACCTACATTGTAGTATTTATTAAACAAACTATTGTGATTGAATACACAATCTTCAATTATACAAAAAATAACTACGGCCATATACAACATAAATTATGAATTGAACCACAAGACCATCACAGTATGCAAAAACAATATATGTTTATGAAAGAAAAACTATTAGCTAATTTTCATTTGCTGATATTATATATGGATAACCAAGTCTAAACAATAACAAGCTTCCCAAAACCAGAAAAAATATGAAACATTTTTGGTATTTCCCTCACCCAATATTGCGTTTGTGTGGGAGGTTTAGAAACTGTGGCAGGCTAGCACCAACCCACTGCTCTTGGTGACCATGGATTAGTATACCCTTGCTGTCAGGCTAATCATGGGAGATTTTTGTGGTTTTCAACTCAACGTAACGCAAAGACAGCTCCAACAAAACAGTGCCCCGAAGAATTCCATTTTCATCTTGATAGGGTTCTACATTACAAGGCTACGGAGCTGAATGTTGAGAATTGTAAACCATAAATTGGGTTTGGTTGTTCAACTCCAGTTATAAAATGAAATCTTACCATTCGTAAGATTTTATACAGTCAATTAAATGGAGAAACAAGAATTGAGCTAAATATATTTATAACGATAGATAAAATCAATGAGTTTCAATCATTTGAGAATTAAAGCTTATTTACGATTTTCACTTATTTAAACTTCGAATTACCTCTCTATGAAGTTATTTTGTTTTCTACTCCATATCATTCTAAATACTGGACATTCTAAATAAGGAAAACAATAGCTTGAATAAAACTCAAAAGCAAATTGGATGAGAAAAGGTTAAATACGAAAATTTGTTTTGATTAAACAGATATTCAGGGGGGAAAACACGAAAATTAAAAAAAAAAAGTTCACCTAAAAAGCAATCATTTGATAAACGTTTTTAATCATAATCACAAGACATAACACACACTTTCTTTCACATTAGGAACAAAAACATTTAGGGATGGCGATTGAAAACAACGATCGACCTGATCGTGGTTGGTGAAGTCGAAGTGAATTTCAATATGGTGGTCAGAGATTCTGCTAAACTTAAACTCAGTATCCGATTCCATGTACATCGATAAAAATGAACTTGACATTCCTTCAGCGAGAGGTGCCATTTCATTTACAAATGATTTTGAAAAGCTACTAGAAATTACACTGCGGTGAGAATAATTACTGTTGATGGCACCAGAGGGTGCCTCTTCCTGCTGAATTAATTCATGTACTTCAATGTTGCATCTAACTTCAAGAATATCAGGGCTCTTCGAAAAGTAGGGAAATGCTAGTTTTCTACAACGACTGACAGTGTGGCAAGTTTTCTTGAAACTAGTACCCCCAGGCAAAAGCCAAGATTCACTTTTAACCTGCATAAATAAAATTTTATTTATTTAAATTAAATGAAAACCCTGTGAAAATGTATCAGCCTCCACCTTAGGTTAGTAAATAAAAGTTATAGAAACAAGCTTAAAGTAAAATACTTTTAAGTTTCTGAATAATAATAGCCAGGGGTAGAAATTAAGATGATTCAGTCTCTGGTCCAAAGGATCAGTAACTGGAAGTTTTTACTAGTCTGTTAACATTTTTACTAATTTGTTCCTATGCCTCAGACTCTTTTAGAACAAAAAGACTTGAAAAATAAAAAAATTAATAAATATATTTAAGTTTTGTAAACTAGTTAAAAATACAGATGAAGTTCCATATATATTTTGTTGTCTTTTACTTAGATTAATTATTGCATATTTACCAGCAGGTCATTAACTTTTTTTTAAAACTTTTAATATTAATCTTTAACTTTTAATGTGTAAGTGAAATTTAATGAAAAATTACAGAAAACTGCACAATTGAAACATTTTTGTGTCAGAAACAACAAACCAAAAAATAAAATCAGTGTACCAAATCCTTATACTTATTGTTATAGATCTATTGCTAATCTGGGGGACCACCGATAATTATTCCATAGTAGTTTGAGTCGAATTTATTGGTCCTATCACTACAGAGCACCATTAATTTTGAGCCCTGACATTGCAATTAAAATTTTGCAGGTAGTATCTGAATAGTCCACAAATAATAGTTGTTAATACTTATAAACAATTCTTATGTTAATTCGTTTACGTTCATGAGCTTTTTTTATCTGTGCAAATTAATTTATTTTAAGACTTTCAAAAGTTTGGGAATTTCAAATGGTTTTTGTAACGCAGTTGCATAAAAATTCTGCAAATAGTTAATTTAATGGTTTACTAGTTAAATGTTGATTTTTTTAGTTAAGAGAAAATAAAGACAATTTTGAGAGATAGCAGAAATAAACAAAGACTAACTGTGTGCTGTCAGTATTAATGTACCTAGAGAAATAGGAATAACAATCATTGCCCCATTCAATAAAAAAATTTTAGTCAATAACTCACTGAACCAAAACTGTTTCAGCAATAATGCACTTTCTACTATTAAAGAGAATCAACCAACATGCAATTTGACTAGTTCAAAGTTTTAAAGATTAATGCTATGACTTCTTCCTCTAGAATTTGTAAAACATATTCTACATTCAGCCATTGGATTCCATGACCCGGAACAAATAAAACACGTTCCTAATTGTCAAACTGTTACTTTATATGAAGAGTTGAAACACAAGGAGAAATTTCCTCTTCTTTTTTTATAACAATGGATAATTTTAAATTTAAAACACTTTATTTATGATTGACTTTTATTTGTAGTAAAAAGTACTATGTAGCTCAATATCGAGTGTAATTATTTCATTGAAATTAATATCCACTAGAAATATATAAAGGAAATTGGAGAATCTGATCTCAATTTTATGTAGAGTGCAGCGGGAATGGTCTCTAAATTTTCGAAAATTATAAATGAAATATTATTAATTATAAAGTCATTCAATATGATTCGTTGTAATTTGCTTTCTCTTTTTTTAAACAGAATTATTATATTAACTACAAACTAGATTGTTTAAGAAGTCTGTCGTTCATTCACGAGGTAATATGGATATAACATTATTGAATGAAGCAATGATAGATATTTTACAACAGGTGGTACCTAACTCAGTCTATTTCAATTCATGCCAAATTTCAAAATTGCCTTTACACTAACGTATAAAAAACAAGCATGGAATAGACAATCAAATCGAAAGTTGTTCTCTCATAATCACAATTTAATAGCCATTACCTTTCATTTTTATAAATAAATTGTATGTTTCCCATTTTAGTTCGCACTCAATTTTTTGGCTTCACCGGATTAAAAAAACTAACACATATTTTGTGGCATATTAAGTAGTATATTTAAAGAGTATGAACCATTAAGATTGAGATTAAATATATATAAAATAATCAAAAGCTATTGAGGTTTTTCCCCTGCTTTGACTCACAGTTCATTGCGTAAAAAAGGTTGAGAAAAAACTAAACTAAAAGTAAGCTACATGCATTATAAATATGTAATTATTCATATTATACATAAAAGTTGCTCTAATTTAAAATAAATATGCCTGATACACTTATAAATAGATTATCAATGTCATTCATCAGGATTATATTAGGTAAGAAGGTGCTTGGCAGATTGTATAAAACTAAATAAACAGTTTGGAGAGAGCATTTAAAATGTATGCAAACTGGTTAATCAATAAAACACAATCCGCAGTACACTACTGTAGCAATCTACTTTAATTTTAAGCCATCTGTACAAGTGTCCTTGGTCTACTCAGACATATCACATATAATTCAGAATTAAAATAAAATTATCACTCTTGAAATATATTTTAAGTTTTAAAAATTAAGAAATTTATTTAGCAGCGCCTAATTCCCTTCGGACAATAAATAAAACTGAACATATTTCCTAGAATACATCTTCTACAAAAAAAAAAGATAAGTAATAAATACATTAAGTATAAAAAGTAAGAAGAGATAGGTTGCAGTTATTTATACATCAATTTAATATTTACACTTTAGAAAAGTTTGAAACTCGAGTTAACAACAGAATGAACTAAGAAATTATTACAATTCTAGAATATGAAAATTCTATGTACTACCAGTTAATCTATATATAGAATCATCTCTATAAAAAGCATCAATCTATATATAGAAACAATTGACAGTTTAGAATTGATAACAAATTACTATAGTGGAGTCTCTCTATAACAAAATTATTTGTTTACAATTGAAAAAATCACTACAGAGAAAATTTTGTTATATAGAAGTGATTGACAACACATGTGTAAAATTATGACTTCTAATCAAAAATGTAGCAACACATATTATAAATTTATTTACATCATTTTTATTGTAAATTATTTTACTGTATATTAAAATTTTATGGTCAAAAGAGAAGATAATTCATCAATTTAGAGAATAATATGCACTTTTATCTACTTTACTTAAATAATAATAGGATTATTTCCAGAATCAGGCAAATTTGAGAATGAAATGGCTTGCACAAAATTGCGACTTACAATGGCAATCATCTTCCAAGAGATCTTAAATGTTTGTTATAGAGTGACAGTCACTATATTATATAGAGGATATTTTGAATGTTGTAAAACGATCAAAATAACACTGTAAGGAGAAATCTGTAGTAGAGAGAATATTTGTATTTAAAAATAACTAACAGTTCAACATAGGAATTCTTTTTAATTAATATGATATGAATTAATAAATAAATTACAATCACACAATGTATGGAATTTTAATGTTGAATTCAAATACTGGGTTGGCAATTTTATGTCAATAGCTAGCTCTTGATGTGACAGTAAAAAATGAAAAAAAAAAGCTAAGTATAAAGAAAGAAGAGATTGCATGGGGGGGGGGATAAACGGTTCACTTCTGAAGCAGACTACCTAATCCCAGAAACAGCTGGTTGACAGACACCACAGTGGTACCAGTATTAAACCGATAAGCCTGATAATGAAATTCCCTTATCAGGCTAACTGTGAGAAATTTTTATGAAAGATATTTTGAAAGTTACTTTATTTTCATTTTCTCTGTACAATAAAATAGCATCCTGATTTTCATCAAAAGTTTGGGAGAGGACTAAGTCAGTATTTTAAGGCAATTGTACAAACGTTAATACCTAAAATTAATAAAAAGTTCACGAAAGATTTATTTAAGTTCGCCATACAAAACAATAGGTTTGTTCAAATGTAAAAAATAGTATGGATAAATTTTGTTAGGTTAACAATCTATGTTAAAAACTAAATGTGAAAAATACTGCCCAGTTTCAACATTATCAACTACAAATAAGATATCATCCTGAGAATAAACAACCACTACCATAGATGCATTTTGGGTAAAATTTTATTTTTAGATTGCAAATGGTATTCAAATTTATACTTTCTAAATTTAATTTAAAATGATTTTGATCACCACTACATTTAAATGGATTAATATTTATAAAAATGCTTAATAACTAAAGAATCTTACTTTTGAAATTTGAGCCAAATAATACTGATATTTTTATTTTACAATCACTGGGGAAAATCATCCTTTGAGAGACTAAAAGTTGGCAGATATGCAATACACGTAATTAAAATTCTGATATCGCCCAGTTCAATCAAAAACATGTGGTGTTCTATCTCAGCATGGTGTATAAATAATGAATTATTAGAACGAAAGAGGAAACAATAACGGGACACCCACAATTAACGGAACAAAATGTAAGTTAACAGTCACATCAAAAACCTGCTAACCCTTGAAAGCAACTAAAAAAACTCTAATAGTATGTTCAGTAGATTTCTTATTCATATGGGATGAAATGAATGAAGTGTTTCAATTATTTAATGAGGAATGAATGAGAAATTGTTCATAGCTATTTACAATTATCACATTTGTTTTTTGAAAAAGGAGATATATACAATATTTAAAAGTTTAGGAAGAATTTTAATGCTCAAACAGTAGGCAATCTTCCTGGGGAAGCTTGTGGGGTGCGAGTCGTTCGCCTAGGGGGACGAAGTTTTCTTCGGCGGTGACAGCGCAGGCGAGACCATTTGTACCATAATGAAAGTAGGACTAAAAGACAGGCTATAACAATAACTGAATGAATGGTTTTCCACTGGAATTCAGTGGTATGATTGCTCACTATTTGAGGATTATCCCATGGAAGTTTAGACATCTGCTGCTCGGGTCCCGGCCGAAAGGGAAACGGAGCATCTAGATTCACCGATAATAACTTCTGTGCTTTGTATAATGTGCTAAAAAAGAAAACATAATTTGTAATATTTACCAAAATAAAAATAGAAGCAGACTTTAAACAACAGTGTAGTTAAAAGAATTGCTACACTATAAAACATAGTAACATTTTATTTCAAGGAAACTGCAAATAATAATTTTTAAATATATTTTAAACAGATCTGCTGTCATGTCCAGAAATAAGTATAAGATTTTCTGTTAGCAACTGTTCAACCTTTTAACTAAGGCTCTGCTGCATATTTAATGACTATTTACATAGTAAAGCTCTTCCTCTGCTTTCTTAAAGATTTGAGACCTTCCAGAATAATACTTAATTCTAGGAAGTATTTTAAGATGTTTTTTTTGTTGCTATTCTAATTATTTCATCATTAATGTCTGAAACAGGCTCTGACATTGAGAGGTCACGAGTCCCCTAACAATACCTTATGAAGATTTACAAATGACAGAGAAATATAAACTTTCAATTATAAATGTAAAGTCATCTGTACACTAACTTTTTGACTGTAGATTACGACCAGTTAGAACAAGAATCTAAGGGCTGCATCATTTTGCCTTAATTCAAAATGGTTTCAAGGGCTTCCATCCTATTTAATGGGCAGTAAGATAAAAAGATTTGGTGAATTAAAGTATTAAATGTCAGTTGCTATTTTAAAATGAATAGTTCAGTGGGAATGTTCTAATAAGCGTCAAAATAATATTGCATCTATAAATAAATCGTCTGTAAAAATAATACAATATTTAACATATCGAGTGCTACAATAGTTTTACTTTAAAATAGTTTTACTTCAATAAAAATTTTAAAATCTATGTAGAATTTCATAGAAAATACAGTTTCAATAAATATTTCAATTAATTACAAGAAATAGTTCAATTTAAAGAAAATCATTAATTTGGTTACATAATAAATTGTATCTTATATACTTTAAGCAATGACATCCCTGTCTGTTATAAATACATCCAATAATCAATAACATGCTTCGTAGTGTAGTGAACCGAAGGAAAAATCAGATAGGACATTTTTGAAAAAGTATACATATATCAGATTACATTAGGGCAAATGACAAGCATAATGTATAATTTGCTCCAATTAAGTCAAATGCAATTTTTTTGGGGGGAAAGAATACAATATTCTGTTTATTTTAAATATCAGAATTACTTTATTTAGAACAGAAGGTATTATTAATTAAAATATGTTTGTATAGGTATTTGGATTCCTCAAATTAATTAAAATTAATTAAGTTAATTAAATGAAAAAAATCTTCAATTGTATCCTTAGAAAAGAGAATGCTCTAAACACACACAAAAACTCCTGATAAAAAATATTTTGTCTTCATAGCAAGATAACTATGAATGAGGATAAATTATATTAATAACACTGGGCATGTAATATAAGTACAATGTTCAAAATGAAACTCTCCTAAGACTATTGATCTAATTGGATTCTCACATGCAATCTTAATAGTTCAAGAGACTAACCTTAAATATGCTAAATAATTTGTGCAGATGATATTTTAAGTTACAATATCAGACACAAAAACATACTTTCTTTGAATAAAGATACCTTTTTGTTCAACGGATTTGAATTTTCGATCCTAAAAGTATGGAAGGTAACTGCAATCTGTAAAATATGATTTCAATATTTCATTTAGGGATTTCGGGCCCCTCAATGTTGATTTAAAATTTTGCCTATTTCCCAATAACTCTGGAACTACTTAAGTGAATTAAACACATTTTTCATACAGCTGAAACCTACTTATCAAAATATAGTTTCATGCAAACCATAATTAGTAAAAAATATTGAATACTGCTTTATTTGATAACGATTAAAATATTATGAAGCCTAAAACAATTTAAACTACATAATTTAAGTAAAACCAGGTGTTAAAATTTCCTATTTTTATTTCTTCAAAATTATTTATTTAATACTATTGAAATTTGCATTTCAAGAAATTGAAGGACACAGTTTGTAATTATGTAATTATCAAATAATAAAAAATTGTAAATGAATATAAAAATTTATTCTTTACCATGAATTATCTTTACATAAAATAGTGTTACAATAGTACTTAAATTTATAGATGTTCTTAAATAGTCCCATATATATGATAACATATATAAAAAGTAAAATTTAAGGAGCTAAATTTTTGACAGTTTTCCCATTTAAACTATGCAGACCACATTTTTTAGATTGTGGTTACTCCTCATACTTTAAGGATCAGAAATCTAAATCCGGAGGGAAAGAGATGTAGATTATTTATTCAAAGAAAATTTGTTTTTGTGTCAGATTACTTAACTTAAATCATCTGTGCAAGAAAAGCAACATATAAAATACTTAAAAAAGTCTTTTTGATCCACATGAAATTTTTCATGTGTTCCACAAACTATTTGGAGCATTTTAAATTTAATAGATAGGAAATACTTCTCACCTAGGTCCAGATTTGTTTAAAGGTTCTGGGCGAACCCAGCTAAGCCTAGGACAGGCCGGTAATGGACGCGTGTGAGGGGTACCAAGATGATGCTCCAATACTTTTGAATATCGATAGAGGTGATTTCCTGTTGGTTAAATAATATATGCTATGACAACAAAAAAAAGGAATTTGCATAACTTATAGAATAATAGATTACAGTGATTTATCATGAATACTGCTTTGGTTAATTAAGACTAATGTATGTTTAAATACAATAGAAATATTATATTGTTATTATATATTTTTTAAATCAGAAAGACCAGAAATTAATATACAAGTATTGATGCTCTGATAACGCACTAATACATTTGCATAGCAAAAAAATATTTGCAAATTTGAAATGAAAAGAGTGTTACTAAGTGTCATTTTTTAAGTCTTGCAAATAATATTAATAGATATTTTTAAATGTACACTTATAAAATTTCAGTTTACTTAAAGAAGATAACTTGAAAATATTTTAGACTTGAAAATTCTCAACAATATAACAATTTATTGTTAATATTTTTTTTCTATTTTCAACTATGCTAAAATTTACATTGTGCTTTCTAAATTTAAAACTGCTATTCAAATTTTATGCAATTATTATGTTGTTGTATGTTAGGAAGATAAAAATTATTAAAAATAATGCTGTTTCATTTATACAACATTTTAGTCACCAGCAAAAAAGAATAAAAATATTTTTTATTAAATGCCCACACTGTTTGTTTCGATAAAAAAAAAAAGAATTTTAAAATAAATGAATCCTCATTAAGAATAAATTTTGCAAATATGTAAGAAATGACTTACTTCTAATCTATGTACAAATTTAATGTAAACCATAAGACTCAGTTAAGGAAAAAGCAACACAGATGTAATATATTACCTTCCATTCTTTGAGGTAAATCTTTGGCATCTAAAACAACACTTGACTTCAATTCCTCAAACAGAGGTGGAACATATTTCGTGGTAGCATATTGCAGAAGAGCATCTAGCAGCCAAAAACAGTCTAAAAACAAATTTTCTCAAGTTAAGTTTTTAAACATAGTATTTTTCAGGGATGATATTGCAAAATATGAAAGAGGGTGAAATAAATAAAAAATTTCAGGAACACATTTGATAAAGAGTCAAGATTATTGTTGCAAAATCTTTTGCTATAAGGAAAATAAAAATTAAAAAAAGTTCCAGTTTAAGTATTTTACACTTGCAGCAAAACTCTAATGTTAAACTATACAAACCATTTTGCAGTAAAGAATTATCTGGGCTTTAAAATGGACAAATAATTTGAATACTTATAAAAATTACCAATTTGGTCAGATTTTTCCGTATAAATCAAAACCATCAAATGACTCAAGTTAACCAAACATTTCCTTCTCACAAAAACTGAGGCTTTTCTTCAGATTGAAGTTTTGTGCTATTTTTAAAATTAGCATACTACTGCCTAAAGACAGGTTAAACTTTACCATGAATGAATGTTGTAAACTCACAGCAGTTATAAAAATAACATATTATCAACAAAAAAGCTCCTGGTTATTTCATATGACTATATAGTGTTTAAAAAAAAAACAGCCTTAACATTGACATATTTGTTTAAATACTATTTCATATAGTGAAAAGTATCAAATTACCTCAATATATTATCATTAATCAAATTACCATAATATGTAATAATACATATAATAATTTATATATACCATGCGTTTTCTTAACTTTTAATAAGAGGAGTGATTTATTGCTAATAGATTAACAGATCAGAAAAAAAATGGCATTTGAAAAATATTCAAATTATTCAGGAGTAAAGAAATATTTTAAATGATTAAATGAAAACTTTGTTACTAATATCTATTTAAAACTGTTATATAAATATGAAAAACTTCCAGAGAGAACTTCATTGATACAATATGTAACTTTACAAATAATAATTAGAGAATAATCTCTTAATGTAACACATTGAAAAATCCAAATTGCCAGATTGCAACTGACATGAATCTATGGATTTGATATTGAATCTGACAAATTTTCACAGAGTTTTCAAAGTACACAGTAGGGTCATTTCTTAGCATGTTAAATAATGTCTAAAATTCATGTTTAAAGTCATATCAATAGATGTGCCAATTATTTTCTTTCTCATATTTGTTATTCCCTCTTGTGCTGTCCATATGAAATAAACGTTTTTGGAGTCATCTTTATTTTGGGTATCCAAGTTTCTTTAGAGAAAAATTTATTACTCAGAAACAAAGAAGAAAAATGACTTTAAAAAAAGAATCAGATGCAAAATCATACTTATAACAAAGTGGATCTCAATCACATTGGAAAATAATGGATCTGAGGAAAATTTTCATGCATCATTTTACATTGAATTAAAAGTTAGGATTAGTAAAGTTTTCTGAATAAGCAGTAAAACTTCTTAAAAATATTATAGTAGAAGTAAGACAATAGAAAAAATACCATAAAGAAAAATTACGTTATTAGTTACGTAAATAATTTACACAACTGTTATTTTCATATTGAAAAGTTATTTTTTTATTTTTAATACCTTTAATGTTTAATACACAAAAAATGAGGTTGATGACTGCTGCCATGATATAAATAATTTTTTACACAAAGAATTATCAAAAAGTGGACACCAACACTAAAAAAAATTTCTCACCTGATTTTGATAATTATTGGCATAAATTTTATAATTAATTTTTCAGTCATGCCTTATTTTTATCCATAAAATAGGATAAAAAACACTCATATGCTTAGTGTGAGGAAGGACACACTTTTTGTTTTTAGAAAATTATTCATTAATTTTAATTTTTATACATACATTAATATATAAATATAGATACGTATAAAAATTAAATATGTATAACAATTAAAATAATAAACATATATATAGAATAAATATGTACATAACATTTAAAATGAGCATTTTTTTTAAAAACAAAAAGTGTGCCCGCTTCATACTACGCCTATGCTTATAATTGCTATTAGAGTCTAAAATAAACCGTATTTTTAAAAAATATTATTACTAGACCAATTTGTTTTTTGGGGGAGTGTATTTGACATAAACTCAAATTAAACCATTTTTCCTGACTTTTTAGACAAGTTTGCCTAATTACCTGATTTTTCCAGATTGATAAAATTCTCAGACTTCCCCCTGTTTTGATACCACCCTGCATCAATTTACTTGATAAAATGCTTTAGGCCATTAGTACTCAATAAGGAACAAAAAAAATAAGAGTTGCATGATAGTTAAAAAGAAAGTAGGTTGCAAAAAGAAACATGTATCTAAATGATTGAATTATTTTCTTAAAAACTTATGATTCTGAACTCGACACACAAATTACTATGATAAATTGAAACTAATACAGCAGTTTATTACATTAATTAGAGTAATAAGTTTTCTTTGTGTTCATGGTATTTTTCATACGTGAAAAGAAAGTTTACCTTTTTGCATATGAGCAGTATCTAAACAATTAGAATCTCCATAAACAACAATACGACCAGAATTTGCATGGTGAGAAGTCTGATGCAATCCAAGCACAGGGACTTTTTCTATTCGATCTGCCTGGCCTTTTAAAACTTCCATACCTGAATTCAAACATGCATTGTTAATGGCACTATTTTAGACATAAACAAACGGAAGATGTAAGTTATGTGATCAATGACTTGCCTTGATTATTAAGAGTTTGTGTGATAACCATTCCATTAGAGGGAAAACGAGCTAAACTAGTTCCAGAAGCATAATACACTAAAATAGAAAAGTTTTATTTGATTTAGGTTAGAATAGATATTTTTGAAAAATGAAATATTCAATATATCAGTATAAAAAAAATAATAATGAAGGTGATGCTTAGAAAATATTATACATTAAAATTTCTCTACGGAATGCTTTTTGCATACCCCAGCCTTATTTTTAATTCGAGACATTTTTTTTTAAAGTTTAAAAACTTGTTTTCATATTAAGGTTTTTTTCTTTGATTGTTATAAATTACCTTCCTATTCTGGACTTTGCAGTTCTTATATGCACTGTCTCATCTATTAGCAATAAGATTTACCACAATGAATGAACATTTATTTTTATGACAAAAATGGCAAATTGGATTATATTTACTATTCAACCCTTACTCATTAGGATGTGTAAAAATCATAATGTTTTGGATATTTAGAGTAAATTAAATGCTGTAAATAATTGTACTTCTTTTGAGGAAAGTTATAAATTTGTCTTGGGTTATAAATCAGTAAGAAAAAACTTTTTTAATTCAATTCTCTGAAATAGCCAGTACTATAGCTACCGACATTTAAAAAAAAAACAAGGAAACATAAAATAAAACAAAAACTTAACAAGATATTTTCTAAACTAAAAAGGGCTTTTTTTAGAACACATTATTAGCGTTAACTCATTATTGCCCGATCAGACAAATTACACTTTTTCGTAAATATTTTGGCTTCAAAATATTTTGTTTAATTTAGAAAATTCTAAGAATTTAAGAAAATATGCTAAAAGCCAAAATTCTATAAAAATTTAAAATTATCGAAGATTTTAAGAAAACTAGTATTACAGTAAACGCCGCTTAATGTGATCACGGCTAATGTTATCAAAATCGCTTAGTCCCGTCCGCTTATATCAAAATACATTGAAAAATCATCGTTTATTGTAATCAAATGTTCGTTTATTGCTATCAGTTTATATGTAAATTTTATTTTCCTGAAATCAATAAAAACAAGAAGGAAAACTTTTTTTTTTGTTTGAAACTTACCAAAAGTCCAAACGGGGCTTGTATATTGTCTTTTAAACACATGCTATTAGGGGTGACCTTCAAAAGAGAACATTGTTTCGGGTATGCCACTTGATCTAGGCAGGTTGCTTACCGAGTCGCTATTGGTCAAACAATAAAATTGGGGGGGGATAGTGGAACTGCCACATCTAAGTGTTTAAAAGACGCATGCAGAAGATCAGCATAAATTTTCACTTTATCATAGTTCATACAGTTTGTAACCTGATTTGTTTTTTATAATGAAAAGGAAACGGAGAGATCTTACTGTGAAAGAAAAGGGTGACATTTTAAATCGTTATGATAAATTGCCGAAAATTAGCCAAAGGAATGCTGCTGTTCAATTGAAAGTTTCGCAACCGCTTTTGTGCAAAATTTTGAAAAATCGTGAAGATATCGAAAAAAAGTGCACTTTGAACGGAAATCTGAATTGTAAAAGAAATCCAGAAGGAAAAGACAAAGAGGGGACGTTTGTGTTAATGGTCCAATTTTGCATCAAAAAGCTGAAGATTTCGCTGCAAAATTGGGTAGCCACAGAAGGATAGCTCCACTGCTGGAAAAAGAGGAAGAACATACTCTTCCGAAGGACACACGGTGAACAAAAAGATGCCGATAATGTAGCCGCAGATCAGTGGATTAAAGAAGAATGGCCTAAACTTATTGCCACATATTCACTTGAAGATGTATATAACGTTGATGAAACTGGCCAACATTTTCGTGCATTGCCTGAACGCACCTACATGTTTCAGAAGGAAAGTACGCAAGGGTGTAAAACCTCCAAGGAACGCCTAACGGTGCTATGTTGCGCTAGTATGACCGGCACTAAAGAAAAACCTTTAGTGATTGGAAAAAGTAAAAAGCCCCGCTGTTTCAAAGGTGTGAAAAATTTGCCCGTCGATTATTTTGCCAACAAAACGGCTTGAATGACTACCACCATCTTTAACGAATGGCTGTTGAAATGGGACAAGCAACTAAAACGGAACATACTGCTGCTCATAGACAACTGCACCGTGCATGATGTAACTGTTTCATTAAAGAAGATAAATATCGTGTTCTTACCACCAAACACCACTTCCTTAATTCAACCGTGTGACTAGGGAATTATTCGCACCTTGAAGGCATATTACAGAAAGGAAATGCGTTCAAGGATCTTAGAAAATATGGAAGACCAAGACGCTGAAGATCTTAATGCGAACGCTCTAGCCAAAAAAAACAAATATTTTGGATGCTATACATTTGTTAACAATGTCATGGAATAATGTCTTGGAAAACACAATTCGTAATTGTTTTAGTCATGGAGAAATTTTTCAACCAGAGGACAACAATGCTGCTGTGATGAAAGAAAGGGAAGACGTTTTCAATCCCCCGCCCGATATGAATGCTGAGGATTTTGAAGCATGGATGGAGATCGACGAAAAGGTTGAGACTTCTACTTCGTTAACTGATGAGGACATTTGCGAAGCCGTATGTGTCAAAGATCAATTGTCACAAGATTTTGGTGCCGATGATAAACCCGAAAGTGCTATCGAGGACAAAATTCCGACACCTGCTCAGATGAGGGGGGCACTTCTAATATTACGTCTCGGTGTACAAAACAAAGCCGAACTCTTTCATAAACATTATGATTATGAGCGATTCGTAAATTACTTGCTTTGAAATAATGCTAAACAATCGACAATTGATGATTTCTTTTTCAGTTGATAATTAACCTTTTGTATTTGTTTTCTGCAGTTCATCATTAAATATGCAAGTATACTAACTAATTCTTTTTCTTTAGTGTACATTGATTTGTATTAAATGCTATAGAGTTTTACAGCAACAACTCCTAATTTAAAATAATTTATATTTTAATACGTATGTAAAAAAACCATTTCTTAGTTTAAATTTTTTTCGTTTACATTATTGTAATCAATCAGTTATTGTTATCAAATCACGTTCGTCCCAATGTGATCAGATTAAGCGGCGTCTACTGCATTAGAATTGTATTTATAAAAATATTTGTAGATTAAAATAAATTAAATAGTTAAACATACTAATAATAATGTCTTTTAAGATATTGTTAAAAAAATTTTAAAACACTAAAAAAATAAAAACAGCTATATTATATACAAATATCAAAACACTATCAAAGCAAAAATCTGTGTTAAATTTTAAGGAAAAAAATATTCCTAATAGTTTACTGTATTATTTCATGCAAGTAAATAAATAAACCAATTAAACAAACCAACACTTTTCTACAGGGCATTGTTGAACTCAGGTTTTTATAAAAAAAAAACATAAAAAATAGGAAATTTAAAATTCATATTTTTTCAACAGAAGGTCAAGTATTTCTTTAAGTATGTTTTTCTTTCAATCAACATTTTATAGATTTTTTTTTAATATAAGCACTATTTTTAAACAAAATCAATACCAGTCATTGAAAATGACTTAACTTTCGCCGGAATATTTCATAATTGCAGTGTACTGACAAATTCTAATTTGGAAATAGAATTTTCTTTTAAAAAATGGTATAAAATTCTGTTTTAGAATATATCTGCATGCGTGATACAACTGAAATGTAAGGAATTGAAATTTATATTAGAAAGAGAGAGAAAAAAATACCAGCTTACTTTCATGATGACCTAAAGTAAAATCTCCTTCATATACTTCATCACTAAAATAAAATTTAATATTATTATTATATGAATATAATAATATTGTAATCACATAATAATAATAAATCTGTAAATTAAAATGAAAATGCATTTACAGAATAAAAACCCTTAACAAAATATTAGGTATGCTATTATTAAACCAAAAGATTTTTTAATATTTTTTTATATTGAGAAGTGAAAATAAAAACTTAACTGTCCAAATATTATGGATAAAATTTTATAATCAAAGAGAGAATTTCAGCAAACTTGATATTTGCTGTTGATAGATAGAAAGAGTTTTTTAAAAAAAACTTTTTACAATGGAAGATCTGTAAGAGACAATTCCATACACCAAATTAACTTTAGGATCTCTAAAACAAACTGAACATTTTTTCCAGTTCTAATGCACTTGATAATTTTAATTTCTTTTCTGTAAACAACAAATAGTTAAAGTGCATATTTTTCTATTTTAAATTTTCTTTTTAGTCAAACAATTACTCTAAAGAGTTTATATTAATTTATCCCAGATAAAGATCATCTGTATAGTGTATAAGTAATTACGGTTAAGAAATTGCTTAATGAAATCAGAATTCTAATTAAAACCATAAAATATCATATGCAATATCAAGAAAAACCTCATATTCTTACGAATCAACAATTTAAGTTATAGTTATGACAGTTGAAGCTAAAATTATTGATTTCTAACATATGAAAATTACTTTTTGAAGCAATAATTATCAAATTAAACTGTTTGTTTATAATAAATCTTTTTAATATTTCTTGACAACCTTGTTTTGAAAAATGATGTTTTATAATCTAATAAACGGTTTGATTTACCTGAATGCCATTTCCCAGGGCGAGAGAAGATCATTTAAAGCTGGTATATTGGCTCCCCCAGTATCAGGCATCCACCACTGCCTATTTATTTAAAATAAATAAAAACAAAGATAGGCATTTATTAGATAGCTGTTCATTAACCTAAATATAATTTTGGATATAAATTTTTTACAAAAAAGGTACCTCGTATTTTCGTCATAAAATTTGACTTTCTTCATCACAGAAACGTTGTACCAATCAGCAAACACTACAAGTGAGAGACCACCATCTATATCTTTAATTAATTTTGAAACCTCCTCTGGAAAAAATTCTTCCTCACTGTCAACAAGTAACAAAGCACCTGCAATATAAGTGTAATCATAAGAACACTCCAAAAAGATTGAAAGAATAGATATGTTTCAGGGTGCTTTAACAAAAAATAAGCACCTTTTAAGCATTCAAAAAAATATTTTTAAGCACTATATACATTAACAAAATGCAAAATAATTTTCAAAGACTTTAGACGATCATGAGAAAATAACTAGTTTCTGACAAATAAATCTTTTCTTGATTATATTAGTCGTTATAAAATGATTGAGAGATTTCTCGGTTTGATATCAGAGGGTGGAAAATGAAGTCTGAAATTGAGAATATCTAGCAAAATGCAGCAGAGTTGCACATGAGAAGGCAATAATCTCACCGAACCCAGCTCAGTATACGCACATACCGACTCGCAAGTATTTCATCAAACATGTAAAATGATTGGCGCTTTCATACGCTATGGACCAATGATACGCCGAAATGAATTGTGAAAACGTGGAATAGAACAATGTGAAAAGCACGCCTTTGCATAACACGTGGCAAAAATCGACATGGTAACGAAAAAAATCTCATGTTTGAAAAGGGAAAATTAAGCACTTTTTAAAAACACCTAATAAAATAAGCACCTTTAAGGGCTTTTAAATAACGAAAATAAGCACCTTTAAGCACTTTTTAAAAACGCTACACATCATGTGTTTATTTGGTTCAGATGAGAGGTATGCAATAATCAAGAATCAGATACAGTGGAAAATGTTTCAGAAATGGTAATTTGTCTCAGTAAAAACATGAGTTTTCTCAGCGGAGATTTCCAGTTATGGATATAATTGATCCAATTACATGCAACCACCCTCCAGCATGGCAGCAGGTGCTGAAGATTATCTCAGCACCCGCAGGATTATTTTTCATCAGTTATCTTTTCTTATTTTTATAAAAATAAACAGGGAAATGATTAGAAAACAAATAAACAGGGCAAAATTGCTAAGGTTTTTTTTAAAAAACATCTCTAAACTAAACTTGTTTCGAATTAAAAAGCTAAATTGAGAGAACACCTTCTTAAGAAGAAAAAGTACTAAATTTTTTTCCATTACATCATTACAGGCTAAACTGTATAAAGATTTATTCCATTTTTTTTAATATCATTGCATAAAATTCAATTTCAATTTAAACAAAAAATATATAGTTTATACGGAAAAAAAATTCACAAATTTATTTTAAAATTTTTTTTAAAACATGTGTTACATAAAGTTTTTAAGGCACAATAAATGCATTATCAACTTTTAATTTATTTAATAGGAATGCAAATAAGTTTTTCTCTCAAGGCACTTTACTGGATAAATTTGCTTTTGATCATTGAAATCAGATAAGGTAGCTTTAAACAAAGGTGACCCATCTTTATCACATTAAAAGAAGCAAGTTAAAATTTTAATTCAATTTACATGTTCATTACTTTAGCATACTTTTACTTTTGTCTAAATCTAAATTAATGGCAAATACCAAACAGTACAGATATAGGTTCAGTATTTTTTCTCTTTTTTTACTAGTGATATATAATGTTTCAAAATGATGTTGAATAAAAATTGAAATTATGTTTTCGTTAGACATTTTAATATAAAGATGAAAAAAATTTGAATTGAATTAACAACTTACTTGAGATGTTATTGATTTCAATTATTATTATATTGGTAACAATCAATAGTCCTTACATGAAAACTACTGTTTATATCTCTCAAATTTATTTTTATATTAAAAAAACAGATCTATAAAATAAAATATTAACTCACCATATTGCTGGGCATCAAAGCAAGTGAAAGGAGATCCTAATAAAATGTTGAAATTAATTTTAAAAATATTAAAAAATGAAAAATACAAAACTATAATATAAATACAATCAGAAAAAAAATTTAATCTTATTACCTAAAACTTCAACATAATAACCATTGTGCCTTAAATGCTGATACATATCTTTAAAATTAGTATGAATATGATCACCATTCCTGTGAGAGAGAAAATAATATTTAGCAGAAAATTAAAAAAATTAATTAAAATAAACATAAGCCATATATCTATACTATACAGAAAAGTGCATATATTATATGTATTATATTATATAAACTATATTAAACATATTATCTTCTTCATATGATAATTTAATCAAAAATTAAAAAGCATATATTAGATGAAAACATTTAATGGATAAAGTCAGATATGTTTTCTAAGAGTAGCTTGAATTTCATCTCTTGGCATAACAGAATAGCAACACAAAAAATAGTAGCATATAACAAGGAACAATAGATAGATCAGAATTCATAATGACATTCAACTTACTAACATTCTTACCATTCATTCACTCATAATGTCATTCATTTAATCTACATTCAAATCAATCCAAACTTACAAAGCCTTTCAGTTTTTACAAATAAACATCCCAAATATGCTCATAAATAATTTAAAAAAATATTTGCTAAAGTTAAAAACACTCTATAGTCAGGGATGAGAGTAGTCAGAAAGTAAAAAAGAGGAAATCCAAGAATGAAAGAATATATATATATATATATATACACATATTTTACGAAAAAGTGCGATTTTTAAACTTGTAAGCCATGTGATT